GGAAACTCAAATATCGATGGATTATTCAGCTAAGTTGTGGAGATAAGGATAAATCAAACTTAGCTGAATAATCCATCGATATTTGAGTTTCCCATCGGTGGGGCTCCCACTTGAGACCCAATAACAAGAATAGAAACATAAAAATTTTAATTTCAATTTTTATTCAAAATAAAAATGAATAAACGAATCAAAACATGAGCTGATGAAATGCGGTGGGATGAATACATAAAAAGAGAACCTTGGGGGCGGGCTCGGAAGGGTGGATCGAAGGGTTGCCGGAGGAGATCGGAGCTTCGGGGGAGATCTTGGCGGAGTAATGACGGATGTAGGGAGACGAGATTCCAAACATTCTCCGAATAGCTAACATTGTCATCGGGATGGACTGAACGCCGATTGAGGCAGAGTTGTCGCGAGAAGAGAGAAGGGTTTTAGGGGTTTCGGGTTTTTATGTTTTGGGACTATGCATTTTTTAATAGACTATCCAATATCAGTTAATAGACTATCCCACTGGTATAATTTTACTATGGATCTCGTTAATCGACTATGGGCCGAAGAATCATCAAAACCCTAGATTTGAGAAGTGACGGCGGCGGATTGGTGTTTTAAAATTAATAGACTATCTCATGTCTTTGATTAGACTATCCCATGTATCTAATTCGACTATGGGTTTAGTTAATTGACTATTGGAAAAATAATAATATATATGGAAACTGAATAAAAAAAGACTACGAACTATATTTTAATGTACTACCCAGCACACTTAAATCGGCTGTTATAAACAAATAAACCAACTATCGATCGGGATCAAAAACATGAACTCGACCACAGCGGACAATTATTCCGATTATTGCATAAACCAACTACGAAGGTCATATAAAACAACTCTAGTCCGATCTGCGTGAACCATCCTCTTCTAACTATGTCAATCCTCTTCCAAACAAACATCATCCGCAAAAAATAACGATGTATATATGACGACGTAATTTTGTTAAAAAACGTTCTACTTAATAGAATCAAGTATCAACACAACTCTTAAAACTGTCTAACCACCGTACACCACAATCCTGTACATACAGCGAAAATAAAAGCCAAAAAAGACGCATTCATACCCGCTTGACGGTGAAGAAATCTTCAAAGGCGATTAAAACGATGGAACGCTGGATAAATCTTCAAAAAAAAATTCTACACGATTTGATATAACGGCCAATGATCTCACGTAATTTTATTCCGTAATTTTAGGCAACGTATCGGCAAATCTCAAATCACGTAGTAAAGGAAATAAATGCCGATTAAAAATAAAACAGGGGTGTTAAAGGAAAATTATATAATATATTTTGCCAAGTTGGCAAAATTGGGTGTATCTCAAAAAGGGGAAAAAAATTTGATCTACCTCATTAGAAAATATGAACAAGAGGGTTATCCCTAATAAACCCTAAATTTAATGACCTTATTCAAAAATCCTGTTTGTTTAATTTAATTAAAATTCATAATTAACGAGAAAAATATTAAAGAAAGAACTGACAATTTTATTCAAACAACATATTTGTTACATTTAATCAAATTACATAATTAAGAAGAAAAATAATAATGAAAAAACTAAAAAATTTATTCAATCAGTCCTAAATTAAATTTAGAGAAAAATTAAAAACAATTGGGAATCTGACTCAGAATTGCACAAATGGTATACATCTAACAAATTTGGGGAAACAGAATTGCATATAAAATAATTAAGAATCATTAATCTAACTAATTACGAAGAACCAATTAAATAATTTGAATGAGCAAAAAACCAAAGATAAATCCAACAAATAATTTGGATTAGCTAAACATGATTTTTCACTATTAACAAAAAAAAAAAAATAAACCAAAAAATTTCAAAGAATAAAAAAATAGGGGTAATATGCTATAAGTCCCTCAAAGCAAACCTAATTTGGACTAAATAACAAGTCAAAATCCAATCTTTTAATTAAATCCTTAATTTGAAACAATATAGGATATACATCCCTAATTATTTTTTTATCCCTATATTGCCCTTATACCTTAAATATTTTGACCTACATATTACGTTTCTTTTCTTGTAGCAGATTTATTTCTTTTTATTCTTCTCTTTTTCTTTTTCTCTTTCGTTTCTCTGCCCCTCCTCTGTCGATCTCTCTCTCTCTCTCTCTCTCTCCCTTTCTCGGCCGATCTCTATATAGCTATTCTCTTTTTTTTTTTTTTTTTGTTGAGACACGAATATTGTGCCGGAGATGCAACAGAGGGTGGGTGGATGCGGATCTGCCGGAGGCGGCGGAGGAGATGACGGAGTGGGTACCGGAGTGGCGGTGAATCTATTGTGGCGGTGGATCTGAAGGCGGCGACGATCTGGGTAGCGGAGTCGGCATCGTTTTTGGGAAGAGATGAGTCCAAGTATGTGAGTTGAATGAACATGGTAGTGGCCGGTTATGTGGGGATGGTTATCGGAGGCGGTGGCTATGGCGTTGGCGGCGATGGTGCCAGATCTAGGGTTTCATAATGAATAAAGGCGGCTATGTGGTGGTAGATCTAGGGTTTCGTAGTGAATAAAGGCGGATATGGTGGCTAGGGTTAGGTGGCTGCGAGTGGCGGCGCGCGGCTGCTAGGTAGGGTTTGTGACGGCGGAAGTTATTTTTGCTTTTAGGGTTTTGGAACAGTAAACCGTAGTAGACCATAGTACACCGTAGTACACCATAGTATAGCATAGTACACCATAGTACACCATAGTATTTCATAGTCTACTATAATATTCACAACAGATAAAATTTTAAAAAAATATATGTAAATTGAATAAAAACACGATTTTTTTTTATAATTTTAAATATTATGTACGAAAAAAAGATTTTTTTATGTTTTTTATAATAGTGTAAAAATGATATAATTAAATTTTTATAATAATGAAAACAATACGACATGGAAAAAAAATGTGTTCTATGTAAAAAGGAATCATAAAAAATGCTAGATGCAAAAATAAAAATATTAAATGCCGAATTAATAATGATAAATACAGTTTAAATATTATGTGATGTAGATTTAATTTTTTATTGTGAAGGGCATTTTTGGAATGAAATTTATAAAGGATGTGAAGCAAAAGTTTAGTTAGACTTGTCATTTAGTTCTAATAAGTTTTGTCACTAGGGACTTATATCTTAAGACCCCTAAAAAATATTAGAAGAGGAACCATCAGATGAACCCTAAATCTGAGAAATAAAGTGACGAGTCCCGGGTTTATATAGGAAGGGTGAAGAAAACCCTAACCTAGATTTATGTTTGGGCTTTTTGACTCGGTGTTTTTTAAATAGGCCCAGTCATAATAATGGTACTTGAATTGAAGCCTATTAGTTCATATTTATATTAAATTACAAACAAACCCCATAACTTAGATTATATTACAAAAAATACCCCACCTATCCGTAATTACCAAAATTCCTGAGACATTTGTTTCCATCTTACACCGGGCCTTTACGGTGTGATTTTTCATGGAATATTTTTGTTCCAATTAATATTTCCTTAGAAATGTCAGTTGTACCCCTACAATAATATGTATCTTTAAAAAGTAAATGAGGTGGAATTGAATTTTGCAGGAAAATTTAATTGTGATAAAAAAAGTTTCCATAAAAAAATACATCGCAAGGGGGTCGGTGTAAGATAAAAACAAACATCAGGGGATTTGATAATTACGGATAGTTGGGGGTATTTTTCGTAATTTAGTCTAAGTTCATGGAGAGTATTGTAATTTACCCTAAAATTTGTTGGTACTCGTATAATTCCGTAATATATTAAATTTTTATCACTTTTTCACTAATTGATATGAAATTTAATGATGCACATACAGTTAGGTGGTGTTTGCAAATGATTATTTAAAAGCAGAAGTTAGTGATTGTGATTTAAGTTAGTCTTAAGTGCTTATTTCTAAAAGTTGGGGGTGTTTGCAAATATTTCGAAAAATGAACTAAAATTGAAAAAGCAGGGTTAGGGGTGCTTTTAAAAAAATAGCTTAAAGCAGATTATTTTAAGAGAAGCAAAAGCAAAAGTTAATTTTGCAAACACCTAAAAACAGATTATGAGCAAAAAAAACCGCATAAGCACTTTCAAAAAGCATTTGCAAACACCACCTTAGTTAAACCAATTGTGAAGTCAAAAAATTTGCAAGTATACAACATAAATTACAAAGTTTATAATAGCTAAAAAATGTTTGTCATCTGTCCCTCTGCTTCGAAACTTCTAGAAGCTTCTCAGCCGCCCATTCCCCAATCTCCGTACTCCCGTGGACCCTACACGCTCCGATAAGCATGGCCCACATTTGCTCCGTCGGAACAATAACCCATCGTTGAAATAACCTCCTTCGCTTTCTTCAATAAACCAGCCCTCCCATATAAATCAACCATGCAAGCAAAATGCTCCAAGCCAGGAGTTATACAGTAAACACTCACCATCTTTTCGAAAAACAACCGACCTTGAGAAACGAGCCTCGAACGACCACAAGCAGACAAAATAGCAACCATCGCCACGTCATCCGGTTTTATATTATGTTTTATCATTTCCTCGAAAAGCTCAACGGCAATTCCACCTTTCCCTTGTGAGCCGTATCCACTTATCATCGAAGTGTACGTCACTAAATCTCTCGTCTCCATTGAATCGAATATTCGTCTAGCTGTTAAAACCCCTGTTCTTGAATACATTTCGATAAGAGCGTTACAGAGTAATAAATTCCCCCGAAATTCCGCACGCGTGGCAATATAGCCATGAAACTCTCTCCCGTGTTTCAGATTTGCCACACGTGCGCAGAGGGGTAGGATTAGGGGTGGCAATTTGGATCCGGTTCCACGGATCCGATTAGATCCGGTTCGATCCATAAGGATCCAGTTTAGATTAAGTTTAGTTGAAACAAACCGGATCGGATCAAGTTGAGTTTTTTTTAAAACTGGATCCATGTGGATCCACTTTAGATCCATTAAAAGTTTAACCACAAAATAAAGTGGGTCATATTGGATCCAACCAAAACCCAATCAAATACCAAAACAATTTTCTCATAAAAAAAGTCAAATATTATTTTAATTAAAATTTAATTGATAAAAAATTATCAATGAGTATATAATAAAAACTGTGTCTGTATGTGAGTGAGTGTGTGTGTGTGTAAAATAGTATGTGTAGAAACTGTGTGTGTATGCGAGTGTGTGTGTGTGTAAAACAGAGAGTGTGTGTGTGTAGAAATTGTGTGTATGTGAGTGTGTGTGTGTGTGTAAAACAGTGTGTGTATGTAAGTGTGTGTGTGTGTGTAAAACAGTGTGTGTATGTGAGTGTGTGTGTGTGTGTAAAACAGTGAGTGTGTGTGTATGTGAGTGTCTTTGTGTGTGTAAAACAGTGTGTAAACAGAGTGTGTGTGTGTGTGTGTTTATACGAGTGTGTGTGTGTATGTGAGTGTGTGTGTGTATGTGAGTGTGTGTGTGTAAACCCGAGACTGTGTGTGTGTGTGTGTATGTGTATGTGAGTGTGTGTGTGTGTGTGTATGTGAGTATATGTGTGTATGTGTGTGTATATATATATATATATATGTTTACATATATATACATGCCCCCCCCCCCCCGTGTGTATACCAATTGTGTGTTGTCTTTTTTTTTTTGTGTTTCCTTATATATATATATATATATATTTTTTATTATATATATACATCTATACATTATATAAATAATATGTA